GTAGGGGGTGATGTTGCTGTAGTCGAACGGTGAGACGGACGTGTAGTTCAGTTTTGGGCACGCGTACGGTGCTGCAGGGATTATATATAGGTGTAGTAGTACCTCTTCGGGCTCTTGGATACCTTTTTCTCGTTCTACGTGTGCGTGTTCTTTAGATCCTCAGATGGCTCTAGCACTTTCGTGACCACGGGCCGAGAGTCTTTGCTAGATTTTGGCATTTAGCAACTGGCATACGGTTTAATGTGAAGTCAACAACAACAACAACAACAATAGCGCGCAGAGGGAGTGGAGGACTCCAGATTATTTGTCGTTGATTTCTATTGACTTGCGGACCCCTCGGGGCCAATTTAATTGATTGAGTGTACGTTTTAAGGGTAAGTTAGACTGCGACCACGGGAATCGACCGCGTCGAGTGTTGTATCAGTACGGACATACGAAGGTACTGAGTGGAGAAAGATCGGAACGGTTATTAACGTGAAGACAACAACAACAATGCCCCGGTTCCTTGCGCTGCTCCGGTGTCGCTATTTATAGTTTTTTTGTTTTTTCTCCCATCATTGGACGCTGTCGTCTGCCGCTCTGGCCCCTATCCTCCACTTCTACCAGCTAGACGACCCAACCGGGGTCACATATGCATAGGAGGGGGGGATTGGACCCCCTCCTGCGTGTAGCATGCGTGCACGTACAGCAGTAGTTTGGATTTTCGCATTTTGCGCTATGTTGGCGCAGATCAAATTGTTGAGTTTTCCAAGGGAGACTGTATATAAACCGCCGGCACCGGCGGTGTCCATTTTACCTCCGATCCTCTCGCATCACGAACTTCACCCTCGCCTTTTACTAGGATGAACCGTGCGGGGAGGATCCTGAAGGAGTGTCACCGATTTTTGACCCCACTCGTGGGGTAAGTAAGGACCACCGCGCACGCCTTGCTTACAACGCGCACGCCTTGCTTACAACGCGCACGCCTTGCTTACAACGCGCACGCCTTGCTTACTCATACACCCCGACCCCACAACACCCACAACAACACCGTACGTACAAAAAGACAAAAAAACAAAAATTGCTTGCACGCACTGCACACAGACAGACGGCACAGGAGCACGTACGTAGCGTGACCTCTGCGAATTGCGGCCCTTTCCTTCCTCTGATTGATGTCACTGAAGTCATGAAACATCACAAGACGTTCTTCTGTCGTCCGTCACCCCCGCCCGACAACGTCCATGACACTTACACGTATTATCGTATTTAGGCTCCATAGAATATAAATGTTAATGTTTGGTGACACCAACGTTTGGCGCTGACCAAAGTACCCCCTTTTCAGGCTTGAGTGTGTAGCAAAAAAACTCTGGCACATCGTCCTTTCACATACCTTCTCAGCCTCTAGGCTAGGATCATGAGTTTGTTGTTGTTGTTGTTGTTGTTTCTCACATTAGCTCTAAAAAAGAAAGTTTGGGAGCCCGTGGTCTCAAAACCCGGCATACACGACCCCACGAAGAAACAGAAAAAAGTAGGGTACAAAAACCACTCGGAAGAGAAACAAAATGATAGAAAGAAAGAGCAGCTACCGCACCAAACGAGAAAGAGCGTCGAGGAGACCGATCAAAATAAAATAAAAGGAGAACGGGGAACGCTTCCCACACCCGCCTACAACGCCGGAGGGTTCCGTGCCGGGTTCCCGCCGACCAGGCATCCCCCGCCCTGCACCACACCCCAGGGGGTGCAGCAAGACGG